ATTTAATTTATAGAAAATTGATTGAATAGTACTGATCCGCCAAATTCGAATTTCGATCGCGAGACATTTCATGCGCCAATCCAATAAATTGAACAGAATTAATATACCTCGAAATTACAGCCCTCTTCTCTTCATCATCTTCATTTTCAACAACACGATCGTGAATACTAATTGGTAGATCATCGTTCTTAGCCAACGTTGCCAGGCTTCTTTTCTGAGATTCGGGCGAGAATTCTCTCGCGTCTATATCATCGCTATCATCGAGCAAACGTCCCAGGAGATCCGGTAACTTCTGTGTTCTTCCATTAAGAATAATGCTGAGATCGCCACGTACAACAGGATCCTTCAACAGTTGCAAATAAACGCGACCAGGTACGCAGATCTCCGAGTCGTCGCCTTCCTCGGTCAGAGCTCTCAGGTGTGCCATATCGTTGCGACTTTTTGCATCGCCAGTTACTCTTGCTGCTCTAGAATAAGCAGCTAAATTCGAACTAACTTCCGGATGGCGCAATAGAGCTAGGAAAACTTGTTTTGGCATGCATTGAGTGCTGTCTTCATCCTGGCACGTCACCTGTAAATTTTAGATAATATTTGTTAAGCATTATAATGGGATTTATTGAATATTTTGAATCTGATAATATTTCAAATATTTTTTAAAGGACAGATTTTAATTATTTAAGTGGATGAATAAGTGAATTGGATTTGTCTCAATGGAGATTGAATTTTCTTTTCAGAATGGAAATAAATTGTGAAATAAATATTAATGTCTTTGAAAAAAATGTTAATTAATGTCAATTTAATATTTTAAGATTGAATAACTGAATGATAAAAGTTCATTTTTATATTTTAAAATTAAAAACATTTCATTTTTTTATAGTTAAAAAACTACGTTGACGATTTGCATTGACTAGTCAGACGCTTAAGTAAACTGTGCATTCAATCTATTTCTATCAAAGCCTGTTTCAGATATTCAACAGACGGTACTATTCTTCTTCGAATCCATTGATTCAATGTTTTTGTAGTTTTAGCCTCTCACGTAAAGTCGTGTAAAGAATTCATCAATCCATTTTACATTGAACTGTTTCGATTCAAGAATCAGTTTCAAACTTTGATTATTTGTTCAATTAGAACAATCAGTTCGACTATTACAATAGTTGTAAGTAACAGAATCAAAAATAAATTTACTCCTCACTGTTTACCTGTAACAAAATAAAGTTTTGCGAGTTAAGTTATAATGTAAGAAAAATTACTCTTAGTCGCATATAAAATTGAGTGCATAATAACATGTATAACGCATCACTGAAAGCTTATTTTACGCTTGGAGTCCCTGGAAAAACTATATAATTTCTTACTGGATAACGGATATCCATTATGCATAAAGATTATCCAAGAAAAAACTTCGTGTTTTATACACCGCTGCTCAAAAAGTTTCAGATCATTTATTCGATAAGAAGGAAAGTTCGATCTTTTAGCGGAAGTATGAATACAAAAAAGATTAATATCTTTAGTTTTAACCCTCAAATAGCGTCGCTGAGTTATAGTATACTAAATTTTAAACGTTATTTCATTTTATTTTGTATGTTATATTTTTAATATTAAAAGAGCCTTTGAAAGTATTATTTAAACATTATACGAGCGAAATAAAAATTATTATGTCGTTGGAATATTCATAATATTCGCAATTAATTAACAAAGAAATAAATCAGTTTGGAACATAGGCGTACTACAAGCAAGTGTCACATTCTGACGTTTAATTTTTGAAAGAATGTTCCCGAAAAAAGAGACCATATAAAATCAACAAAAATTCTCCGGTTCTAATTCATAGTCGAAACGTGGAAATTAATTAATCGGTACGTAATGCGTGAAACAGTGGACAGATGTGTCGTAATTAAATAGGTTCGTCGTGTCATCGAAAATTAATTTGGTTCATTCGCGATGGGGAACATATCGTTTGAACATGAATTTTCTCGTTGAAACGATGTTCACGAGAAATTAATTACATTTAATACATGTATATATGATAAATTGAAATTAAACGTTCGTTATTTGTTGAATGACATTTGATCAGATTAATAAATAAATGAACGTTTATTCTAATGTATACCTTACAAATTCACTTGTTTTGTATGCTGTTCGGAAGTCACAGGGATCAACTTCATGAATTAGAAATTAGGATGAAATGATGACGCTGTAAGCACTATTTTTTAAATATCTTACAATTTTATGTCTTCTTTTGACAACAGAACTATCTTCAGTTAAAGTTATTAACTCATGAACTTTGAACGTTGAGAAACATTTTCTTTGAACTCTGAACTTTGAAAATTGAACTGAAAACTGAACTGAAATCAATACTCGAAAAAGTCAAGCAAAAAAAATCGATGAATCTGACTTCTGAAATTATACATACCTACGTACATCTCTTTGCAATAAAAGTAATGCAACTTGAATAAGCATGTTTTTCCAAGAGTAGTGGAAGATAGTCTTTGAACACAAGACGTTACTTTATCAGTCAAAGAAACGATGAAATTAAGAAAGAACGCACGCTTCGCCATGTCAACTGACACTTGTTTTCATTTCTAGGATGCAGCTTCACAGTATCACGTGATACACAAAGAAAACGACATAATTGCTCTCTCTAGTGGCTAAGATATGAAAATAAAAGAATAAGGGTACGAGAATGAAAAGTATAAGAATAAAAGATTCGTAATTGATCAAAAGTGTACAATATCTGCGACATTCTCGTAGTGATAACATGAAAATTGCATTTTTCATCACAGATGTACAATATATGGAATTTGCCGAAAATTCGTCAATTTAAACACGAGGTATCATTCGATTATTGGAAATGGAGGCATGAAGATCGATTGATGATTACGTAATGCTAACCTACTATCTTTACATACTTCCGATTAGGCTGTTTTATTAATATATGTTATTTGTTAAACAATTATTATTATCAAATTTATTATTACAACAAAATTAAATATTCTTTTACGTTTTTCCGTCCTTTATTTTTTCGACGAATCAGAGTTATCAATAGCTATCAAATTCTTTACTTCGAGATAAATTTTCGATAGATTATTTTATGTGTCGTTTCGTTTTAATACGCAATTTTATACGTTTCAATTTTGTACATTTGTTTTAAATTATTGACTTGCTTTCACGCAGATGATGGCGGAACTAACATAAAAGGAATGAAAATTCAAAATCTGATAAGATTATTGGTAATATTTCATACATACTTATATAATTGGATCATAAATAATTTTATAGTTTAGTGAGAACTAAAAGAATAGTTTTAGATTTCCAATTTTTTTATTAGGTAGATTTTCTACATTTCTTTTTATATTCAAACAATAAGTTAAAATAACCTATATATATATAAATGTGTGTGATTTGCTATATTTCCCGCGCAAATTATCTACGGTAGCGTCATCTCTTGATTTTTATTAATAACTTTAATTATTTTTTGAAGAGGTCGCTATTATAAGCGCGATCAGTTTTTAACATGTACACTAACGATTAATACTGTGTTTTTAAGAATAATTTACATTTCATGTTTTTTTAAAGATTACTTGTTACGTGAAGAAGATCTAGTCTAATTCAGCGAATCAAAAGTGAAGACTGTAAGTAGCAGTCTTTCATTCTAAATAATGTGACACTGTCTTCAAGAATAACTTATAATATTCATGTTTCTTGTTAAAGATTTTTACAACTTGCTTACTTTCACCATGGGATCCAATTTATCCTATTTAATGACAATTTTCTATTTAATGATGATATTTAATGATGATACATCACAACGATCTTCGCATCGAATCGTGAGTCGGATGCATTTTTATTTCTCTTTATCATTTAAACATATATGAATCACGTAGAATTTTTTAACATAATGACAAGAATTTATTATGTTATTACTTTTTATAGTCACGAATATTAATATTTGCTCGTTTATTAGTTCAAGAACTTTTGTTATTTTCATTTTTTTAAGTATAGAACTAAGTGGAATAGATAGTATACTTCCCGATATGCTTCTTAATTTTGAAGAAAAATTGAACTAATAGTGAATTCATATTCAGATATTAGTATTTATTTACTTTTACCCACGTAATCAGAATTCATTTAATTAATATTGTAGCAAAGTTCGCTAAGGCTCTGTCAAGTCAATTGCGAACTCAGCAATACTAATCCAATCTCACAATCATAAGCAACGCAACATCTGCGGTTTAATAGGCTTGAACGTTATTACAAGGGAAGGATATATAAAATACCAAAAAGACACGTATATCTGCTTAGTATTAAAAAATAGTCTGCTTTAGTATTAAAAAATAAACTTTTATTCATTGATATTGTTAAAACAGTTTTAATATTAATCGTCAATTTTCTCAAAAAAGAAAAATAATATTTATTGCATTTTTTGCATTTAAATAATTACATTATAATATGTTATAATTGAAATGAATAATGAAAAACGAAAAAAAGAACACTTAAATAATAATGTATAAAATTACACAAATGAAATAAATTGAATTAATTATGTTTAATTAAAATGAAAATGGTGCAATAAACGGTATATAGCTCGGTACGCCTCCTGGTGGGTACAGACATTTTATGAAGTTGGGACAAATGTCGAGGACGTTAACTGCATATCGTGAAACTAAACAGCAATTTCCCACACTCGACTTGCTCGATATTACACGAACTTTATTATACACCAACTTATAATAAAGCAAAAGTATTTATCACACTTTTATTTATCACACTAAAACTGTAAGAGATGAGAAAATATGACAAATGAAACATTTTTAAAATGTAATATTTGGAACCGTACTCATTCAATGATTATTTTTAATTTAAAATGTTATTCTACCTTAATAATCAAATTATATTTAGATTGCAAATTATATTAAATTAATAAATTTTAATAAAATTTAATTGTTAGTCGGAAATATATTGTATACATATCTTTCCCTACAAAGTGTTACACATTCATTAAGAATAAAGTTAAATACTTTTGCTTAATTTAAATACAACATATCGCAATTGAAATTCATATTATAACTTAAACGATATTCGATCGTCAATTTTCTTTTTTATCCCCGAGTAAATACCTTTAGTTGATCAGTGGACCGATCTAAAACTGAGATAACAATTCGGTTCGCGACATGTATTATTCCAGAAGTTTACCGCCGAATCACGATTCGTAACAACTTTATACTTTGGAGATATCGTATATTTCATTTGGAAAATATTTTCCAATTCCTCAGTTCTTCTTTATTATGATTCACTATTACAATAAACTTTGAAAAAATATATTACAGGTTCATTAAAAAACTTCGTGTTTGTACGATGAATAATTAATGAATAATTGGAACGTTCGTCAATAACTTATAAAACTTATGAATAATACATATCGGTTCGATACGTAATAGGAGAAATGTACAATGCATTTGACATTCGCGATGCCATTGAAATGTTAATCTCGTGCGCAACATTTAACATAATTATTAACCCAAACAGAACGTCAGATTTGCTACGTTTCAAAATCAATCCTCATCGGCAAACATACATTTCGAATTTAAGATACTATTACAGGCGAAATTTTTATTTTTCCTTCGTAAAAATATTTAACTATTAGAATAAGTAATGAATGATTTCTTTTCACGTAAAATAACACTATTGAATAAATTCTGTTAGACGTACGAAATTTTATCTAAGCAAAATATTTAAATTCTTTCTCGTAGAAAGTCAGGGAACGAATTTAATTTTAAAGTTAATTAAAAATTTCATTAAACTATAAACTCAATTTAAAATTGCAGCTAAAATAAATAATTCGAAGTAGACTGCTGTGTAAAGTGATTAAATTTTGCTAAAGAATGAAATTAAATATCCTGAGGAAGCAAAAAGAAATTTTCCACTATCTTCACTTGTAATATGCAGGTGCATAAGATATTAAAATTATAATTTTTACAATTAGATAATTAAATCAAAAGGGATTAAATTACCATCGAGATTTAAATTTAACATCAGATAAACAAATTTTATTTTTACTTAAAAATGACTGAAAGTGGATGATATTTCTTCCTTTTATTGAAAAAAATTATATACGTCATAGATATCATATACGTGTCATTTTGATAATCTTAAGATCATTAATGAGAGTAGATTGCAGTATTGTCGCTAATAATCAAGAACGTGTCTCATTAAATCTACCCACATCACCCTCATTTTCTTCATACACGTTTAATAACGTTACCCTTGGCCACCTAAATTAAATTGCATTCCTAAAGCGACACTCGGCTAGCATGTAGAAGTTAAACGAATATTTCAATGAATTATCTAATGAAACCACCGTGTTATTATAATAAAC